ACCAAGAAATCAAACACCTTCAAATAGAGGACTATGTAAGTATCTCTGGCTGAATGTGGTTGCACAACTCCTTGATTAAGTGTCCCAATCAAGGGAGCTTTATAACTATGTAGATATGACATGCAAAACATTTTAGGCAAGAAAATGTAGTCTAAACAAATGAGCAATATACATTTTGCTCTTGAGGTTTCCTGTGTTTTCACTCAATCACATCCATTCAGCACTTTGCTGCCAAAAATTAAATCCTCTCACTGACTTCCTGATTTTTTAAAACCTTCTTGTTTTTAACATTGAGATCCACTGTGATCTTTCCCTTCATCTGGCTCCCATGTTTACATCCCAATTATTTCTCATGTATTTTGTCCATCCATCTCTACCATCTTCAGCTGTTTAAGTGCCTTTTGCTTTTTAAAACCACTGTTTTTCCTTACTACCATATGCCTGCAACTGCCTCCCAGAATCCTCCTGTGCAGTCTCTTCTCTTACTTCAAGTGTCTTGTCAAGAGCCACCATTTCCAGAAAGCTTTCAATTGTCCTACTAATCCAGAGGTGCCAAACTTTTGGCACTCCAGATGTTTTGGATTATAGCTAACAGAATCTCAAGCCTGAATTGGCAGTGCTGTGGGAGTTGCAGTCCAAAGCACTTAAGAGTGCTAAAGGTTTGCCATCCCTTGTATTTATTGTAACTAAGCCATTTAAGTGTAATGGAAATACAGTTACATATTCTTTCCTTGCTAACTCATGTCTGTTTCCCCTTTCCTCTATATTTTCATGAGTCTCTTTTGAATTGTAAGCTGCCCTTGCAGGTCTCTTCTTTGCAAAATATCATGTGTATGTATATGACACTATAAATTTTATTTATTTATTTATTTATTTTACAATATTTTTAGCCACACCATTGAACTCAGGACAAGACAGGAGTGCAGCAAGTATTAAATTATAAACCTCAGATAGAGAAAGAATTTGTAACATCTATCTATTACTCTTAAAATGGAACCCTGAGTTTTCTTGAGCAGGAACACTTGTATGTTTTAAAATCCAATTTTACATCTGGCAGATTAGACCTTTACTGTGTATAGATTTGACACATCTATCTCAGACTCCTTCTAACAATTCTGAGTCTTCACTTCATCTACCTTTTCTCTACTTTTACTTATTTTCCTTGTTCTTCCTTGGTTTTCTGTCAGCAAACAGCAAAACTATTATGAAAATTCTGGAAATCTATTTATGTTCAGTCCTTGTACAAGTCTCTTTTGACTGAAGTGAGATTTTTACATGTTATTGAATGCTTTTGTGAATAGTTTTACACACATGCTGAAGGCAGTTCCTTGGCAACTTTAATGTTTTCATCCTCAGAGGCTAGAAGGGATTGCTTTATCCAGAACAGCAGCTGCATTTGCTATGGAGGTGTGCGTCTTCCAGTGTTTACTTACTAAGAAAAGTGCTGAAACTTCAATTTGTTTGGGAATCACACATTGATGGTAGTCTATACATCCTTTGTCATAATATGTATTATATTTGCAGGTGCTGATTGTACTGGGTTAGTTAAACATTTCAGTGAAAGCAACTGTTTGTAGTATAGTTTAACCTCTGGTATTGACACCTGACTATGAAATGTAATTGAAGCTCTCTCGCCCCTTTTAGAAAAAAACACAGCCACCAATTGCATGTAATCTGAAAAGATATTTTAGGAGGTCCAATATTCCCATTAAAGGGTAATACAATAAATAAATAAATAAATCAATAAAATACGATGTGATTTAATCCCTTGTTAATATGGGCACTGTGATGAGTATGTAGTCAACCACATATACCTCTTTATAGAAATAGTGTCCTTAAATATAGTTCTTACAGCAGGAGGCTGTAACCTTTGAAGTCTGTGCTAGGGCTTCAAGCCAATTCATACTCTTGTTATATTTGTAGTGAGGTTGTTTGTTTCCAATCTGGTCTTGGGTTACTATTTTAAGTTTTCAGTGTGGCATATGGAATTGTACCTTGTGCTGCTTATCTCACATAAATATACTGTATGCTGCTTAGATGAATAGCTTATCTCATGTTATGTACAGGCTGACTAAAAATAGGCAAATGTGTCCTGACTGATAGGCACATGTCACTCAGTTGGCTACTATCACTGCATTCTCCTGCTTATTACTATTATTGAGGAAAATCTGTTTGGTGCATGATGGTTTAGGCCAGCTGTGGACGAAGTGCAGAATAATTAGTTGGACTACCAACTTCTATCACTCCTAGCTGGCACTGCCAATGGAAATGTTGGGAGTTAGAGTTTGAAACATTTGCAGGGCTGCATTTCGCTCATCTGTGATTTAAACAATGGTGGCCCAGAGTCCAAGATCAATTGTGGGGTGGGGCTCACCCACCATGATGGGAATTTAGATATTCTGTGATTACTGTTAAGGGATATCTTTGGCCATGTCGGTGTCATTGGGGACCAAGAACTATCTCTAGCACCAAGGACATATTTTACCTCTTGAAATCTGGACTGTTAAGGAAGCAGACAGTTAAAAAAAAAATTCATCTGAAATCTGGTGGTGAAGGAGAGTTTTGCAGATACCCTGGACTGCCAGAAAGACAAACAAGTGGGTCCTTGTTCAAATCAAGCCTGAACTATCTCTAGAGGCAAAGGGGTTGAAACTGAAGCTATCCTACTGTGGGCCCATGATGAGAAGGCAGGATTCTCTGGAAAAGACAATAATGCTGGGAAAGGTTGAAAGCAGCAGGAAATGAGGAAGACCAACTATAAGATGGGCTGACGCCCTAAGAGACCCTGGACTTGAGTCCACAAGAGTTGGGCAGAGCAGCTGAGGACAGGACATTTTGGAGAGTGCTCATTCATAGGGTTGCCAGGAGTCGGAGGTGTCTTGATGACACATAACAAGAATCAGGTATAATGTGCCGCGGCGTGATACAACTCAAACTGTAATTCCTCAGCCACACTCAGTTTGCACACTCTGTGACAATGACAGAATGCACAGTTTGATACTGAGTCAAGAGGCATTTGCACACACAGTCACAGCTGGAAGTTAACAGGTGAATGCTAGTGTGTACATAAGACAGAGAACCAGTTTGGTGTGCACAGATTCTCAGAGGAGAACTCTGGAGATGTGAGTTCAAATCCTAGTTCATCCACTGAAATTCATGGGGGTGGGGATGGCAGCAATGTTAAACCACTGGTTGAACAACTCACGTACCTCAAAACCTCTATTATGGTCATTATCAGTCTGAAATAATTTGATGGCATGTAAGAAGGATAACAGACGAAACGTAAGTGTATCTAAGGATGATCAAACATTCACCTATTTCGAACAACTTGAAGCAGATGTCTTTCTTCCCACAGGACACTTGACTCTTCAGGGCACCATATGAACAAACAGCCCCTCAAAAAGAAAAAGGAAAAAAAAGAAAAGAAAACCACTTCGGTTTCCTGCGCACAGGCATTGCCCTGGGTAAGCTCAGCAGCCTTCCTCCCCGGAACAGACAGCCATTCAATATCCCTAAAGCATGTACAGCACAGAATACGCTGTACATGTTCAATATTTATGCAGGGAACAGATTCGTTTACAAATCCTGCGGCGAGGCAGTTTTATAATCTGACATTTGCCAGATCATCGGAACAGGACCTGCCAAAAAAAGAAAAAAAAAGAAAAGAAAAAAAGCCGAGGCTGCCTGTCATCGCATGTACTCTGCAGACTCCAGCTACAAACACATCTTCCGTTCAAACCTTTCCACTTTCCTACTCTTCCGTCGGAAGGGGGGTTATGATGATAACCTGGAGAGGGCCCCCCCGCCTTCCCGTAAGTGCCCGCCTGTCGATAAGCAAGCGCCCCCCCTTCCCTGCACACCCAAAGGAGGACTCGAAGGGAAGAAGCAAGAAAGCGACTTCACTGGGCTGTTGGGTGCCACAGCCCCAAAGAAAGCGCTCGGAGCTCTCCCGCTCCTTGTGGTGTCTCCCGAGAGTTTCCCTCAGTCGCCTTTTCAAGTGGTTTACAGTCTCTCTCTCTCTCTCTCTCACTCACTCACTCACTCACTCACTCACACACACACAGAGGCATACGCACGCGCCCGCACCCTCTCTCACTACGAGGGCTCTCGTTCGTTCTCTTCTAGCGGTCTGGGAGCATTTCTTGAGCCACAGACGTCCACCGAGGCGCCGAGCGCGGGGCGGCCCGTCTACTTCCCCAAGGCGAGCCTCGCGCCTCTCTCTCTCTCTCTCTCGTCCGCCTTCTCTCTCTCCCCCCCCCCCGCGCACGCGCTGAGCGGAGCCGCTCGTTCGCCGACCGGGTCCCTTCAAGCCTCTCCGGCGAAGCGTGCGAAGCGGCGCCGAACAGCGAGGAAGCGGCTCTGCGCGGCGACACGGAGATAAGGATTCAGCACCAGCACCGCCTTGGCGCTCCCAAGCCACCCCCCTCGTCTTCTCTCTCTCTCTCTCTCTCTGCCCCCTCCGCGCTCCTCCTCCTCCTCCGCGTGACAACCGAGGCGAGTAGGCTGCTGGAGTGGAAACTGGGAACCCGCCAAGCAAACCCCGGCCGCTTTAAAGCTAAACAAGGACGGAGTGGGAGGAGAGTTTGTGGCGCGGCGAGTTTGAGGGAGTGAATAAGTACCCACGGGGTGACAACGCGAAGACCCGGAGCCCTTTCCTCCCCCTCGGCCCCGGCTGCCTCTTCGCCTGCTCTCCTCCCCGCCGGCTCGCTCCGACTCCGCGGCGGGCGGCAATGGCAAAGGGAAGCGACCTGACGGCCCCGTGAAGGGAGCG